GAGTCCTGGTGTGCTGCTGTATGATAAGCACTGGACTGTTAACCCCAAGGTTAGTGGTTCAAACTCATCAGTTGCTCCTCAGAAAACCTATACAGGGATCGCTATGAGTCAGAATTAACACAATGGCTATTAACAACAACAACAACAACAACAACAGCATCCCCAATCAAATAAGAGCTATGTTTAAGGTAAAAAATTTTTTTTTGTTTTTCAATTGAAATAATAATTTAGGCTCTAAAGTAGAAGCAAACATTTAATAATGTTTCCTTTGTAATGTTTATTAACTAGAGCAATGGTATGATAAAACCCTTAAAATGTCAAGGTATCAATTATAATTTTTCCTGAGGAAGATAAAATGTTGAAACTAGTAAGCATTAAAAGTTGCTTAAGAGCAAGAGCAACCTCCCTGGAGATACACAGACAACAATAGTAGTCACAGGTAAGTGGTTTGTTTATAAAATCGGTTTTGACCAAAGTTTTATCTAGTTGGACAGTAAAACTATCAACAAAATTACTGAATATGAAATGGTGAGGGCAAGATCATAAACAACAAAGGGGTCTTGGAGTACAGTCAATCTACAAGTGGAAAAGTATTTATGCAAGAAATGCGGCTACAATATACAGGGCTCCTTAAGGAATTGGAAGAAAGGGGGACAGACAGCAGGAAACTTAGCAGTTGTTATAAAACGCTGAACTAAAGTAGCCACACACAGAACGGGCAAAAGAAATCCTTTAAGCAGACGCACAAGATACTTATTCTGAGGTCACAAATACAAAGAATTTACCGAATACCCAAAACCAATCTGGTAGGCAGCTACAAAGAGTAAAGTTTTCTTTTTTAAGCCAGTACTTTTAACCAGTTCCAGTTCGTTTAGTTATAGTCAATGCAGCGAAATCAGAACAGACCTAAATTTGTAAAATGTAAGTGTACTGATACAATAGCCAGAAATGGTGGAAGCCCTGGAATGGGAGATTTGTATGAAACATATAGCTACTTTCAGAAGTCTGATAGGGCATACTAGTTTACTGCTAAGATTTTGAATGCACACATTCAAAACAGCCCAGTAGGCTGCCAAAAACTGGGCACTGTTGTTTTTAACTCTTCCATTAAAGAGATTGGCTTGCTACATAATGTGCCTTCTACCTTTGTTTTCTTAGAGGACAATCAAGCGATCATGTCTCAAGCAGGGTGTTGACCCTAATTTTTCAAATTCTGATTTTATTTCTGGTTCACCCCACTTTACAAATTCAGACCTAATCCAGTATCACTTCACCAGACATAATTGGTGACCTGTTTTAAGCAAAGGCTATTTAAAATTAAGGAAGACAAATTTATATTTTCCTTGTATGCTTATTCTATCACTGGCTAGATTAATGAAATTATTGAACTGTCTTTATAACTCTACATCATAACTTCAGAAGTATAAGATGTTTTTTATCCCCAAAAGGTATTTCCTAGTTTTGTTATCCATAACTTTCATGGAATATGACTCCAAATGAAAAAGAACTCTAAAACTGACAAAATTTGAGATCTGGTCCAATCTCATTTTATCAACAAGATAAAAGACTAAAGAGATTAAGTAACTTGCCCAAATTCTTTTAGCAAGGTAATGCTAAAGTGTATCTGATCCCAATTGTGGCATACTGCTACATCACGAAACCTCTAACTTGTGTCAGAAATTTGGGGGCATCATGTACATTAAAGGGGTCCTGATGTGTCACTGCTAACCTCTCAAATACACCAGTCACTCCTCAGAAACCCTATACAGGCTCACAATTAGTCAGAATGAACTCAACAGCAGTTAACGACAACAAACGGACATTTAAAAATAGTACTGGTGGCACAATGGTTAAGCACTTGGCTTGCTAACCAAAAGACCAGCAGTTGGAACCCACTCAATGACTCTACAGGGAAAAAAGGACTGGAAATATGTGCCCAGAAACATTACATCCTAGGAGACTCTATGGGGCAGTTGTACTCTAGCCTACATGGTTGCTATGAATTGGACTGACACCAGTTATCATAACAACATGGGTATTAAAAGATCACTAAGGAGCTCTGGTAAGGCGCTCTAGTAGTGGTTACGAATTGGGCTGCTAACCTCAAGGTCGGCAGTTCGAAACTACCTGCCGTTCCGCGGGAGAAAGATAAGGCTTTCTGCTCCTGTAAAGATTTACAGCCTCGTAAACCCTGTACAGGGTCACTATGATTTGGAACCAACTCCATGGTACTTAACAACAACAAGGAGCTCTGGTAGTGTAGTGGTTACAAGTTGGGCTGCTAACCTCAAGGTCAGAAGTTCAAAACTACCAGCTGTTCCACAGGAGAAAGATGAGGCTTTCTGCACCCATAAAGATTTACAGCCTAGGAACCCCTATGCAGGGTCGCTATGAGTCAGAACTGACTCCACAGCACACAACCACCACCAACCACCAGGGAGTCCTGGTGTAGCACTGCAGGATAATACGCTGGACCACAAGGTCACTTTGAAACTCAATATTGGAGGTTCTAACCTGCCAGAAACTCCTCAGAAACCCTATACTGGATGGCTATGAGTTAAAACCGACTCGATAGCACTTAACAGGTGGTACAGATGATTCATGCTGCGATTGCTAACCTAAAGATTCAAACCCAGGCACTGATACGTCAGAAGAAAAGGTCTGATAACCTGCTTCTGTTAAAACAAAAACAATCAAACCCACTGCCATACAGTTAATTCCAACTCATAGTCCAGAAACCCCTATGGAGCAGTTCCACTCAGTAACACATGTCGTCTACAACTAACACGAGGATTAAAGGGTGTGGAGCTCTACTGGCAGTGGCTTAAGAGCTGGGCTGCTATGCACAAGCTCACTACAAATCTACCAGCCATTCCACGGGAGAAAGGTGAGGCTTTCGTTCCCGTAGAGAAAACCCAACACAGGATCACTATGAGTCGGAATTGACTCGACCAGACTTAACACCACCAGTTCAAAAAGCAATATCAGTAAGAGGAATTTCTATACTATTTTGAAGTTGCTGCTCTGAAATATGTAGATTATCAGATATAAGTATGAGCTCAATGGATGTTTTTGAATGACTGAATTGAATGTATAAATTCAATAATACTTTATTAAAATATTGGCCATAGGACTTTGTAATTTCTTACCCTTAAATTTCTGAATTTTCTAGCTAGAGGTGGTCACATATAAAGGTCTCTGGTAGCGTAGTGGTTACGAATCGGGCTGCGAACCTTAAGGTCAGCGGTTCGAAACTACCAGCTGCTCCGCGGGCGAAAGATGAGGCTTTCTACTCCCGTAAGGATTTACCCTCGGAAACCCTGTACAGGGTCGCTATGGGTCGGAACCGACTCGATGGCACTTAACAACAACAACATTAGGCAACGGAAGACAGAACTTTGGTAGCATAGTGGTTACCAGTTGGGCTACTAATCTCACGGTCAGTTCTAAACTGCCATTGGTTCCACCAGAAAAACATGAGGCTTTTTTCTGCTTCCATAAAGATTTACAGCTTCAGAAACCCAACACAGGCAGGCTTACTATGAGTTGGAATCCACACCACCAAACGACCTTTATCCAAATATTTTAAGGTTCCAATCCTCATCCCTGGTCCCGCCCACCTCTGAAAGGATCTGCACTTGGTTAATGTCCCCTTTAGAACAAATTAAAACGATGTCTTTTTCATTTTCTAACTCTGCAAAACCTGACAACATAGTGAGTTACTCAAACCCCACGGTTAGCAGTTCGAATCTACCAGCCGCTCTGTGGGAAAATGAGGCTTTTCTGCTCCCATAAAGATTTACAGCCTCCGAAACCCTATGTACACCCATGATACGCATGCAAACCTACTGACGGCACACCACCACCACCAATTCCACACGCAGGAATTCTACAGCTACAGAAATGCTATGTAAAGTGAGAAAAACATATTAAAATGTATGTTTAAAGACTATAAACACAAATGTTTACAGATCAGGGAATTATGAAACTAGACAGAAAAATAAGCTTCCTTGGTCCTACTCTAGGGGCCAAGCGTAGGTTGGATTTTAATAATCAAATTTCCTCAGCGCGTAACCGATATGAAGATCTATAAAGGTCTTCACTGCTTTCAAATGAATGGGAGGACATGGGGTTAGGGATACTTTTTATAGTCCTTATGTGGTTTTTTTCTCTAGTTTCCAAATTTTCATGGATTTTTTTTTTTTTTCCTTAGAGCAAAAACACGCTCATTAAAAGAATTCTCAAGCATAAACCAAAATATAAAGGTTCAGGTCTGCCGCTTATTTATGGAAAGTATAGGCACCCGTTACTGCCTGTGTTACCTCATCACCCCGGTTAAGCAAGCGCTTTAAACGATTCCGTAAAATCGGATTTGTTTTTCGGCGGGATGATAACAGAGCCGTCATGTTGAAAGACAACTAACACCATCATCATCGGCATAAAGGGTAACTGAGAAACGGTGCTGCCACCTCAAGGCACCGAACACTTTCAAAACACATGACCCCCAAAAAACTAGAAGTCAGCGAAAGCTAGGCATTCCCTTTTCCAAACTATTAATTAGCTTTTTTACTTTTAAGTCCTGAAGTGAATCCTAACAGTTGGCAAACACCTAAAAGGCTGCCCAAACCCGGCACGGCGTTTTGAAAGACCTGTGACTCGGGTGTCATAATTGGTTCAAGATTCACCTCCGGTGGAGGCCAGAAGCAGCAGCCAAGCCTCCCCTCGAAACACTAGGCGGGGGAATGAAAGCAGGAAGAGTACGACATAGACAACTCCACGTTGGCCGTCCCCAGAGCAGCCCTTCTAACACCCGCACCCGCACCCGTACCAGCCGCCGGGCTCCGCTCCAGCTGCAGGCACACCTGCCCACGCTGAGCCCGCGCTCCCCGCCTGCCTGCTTCGCGTGGGCCGCCTGCTTGGCCACGCACTCTGACCCCGCGCCTAGGCCACCGCCCCCCTGGCCGTTGGCCGCGCGGAAGGCGAGGCAAGAGTGGGCTCACCAGGTCCTTCTGGGCTGAACGGCACCCGGGGCTGGTGAGACGGAGATCCGCACCCAGGGTCCCCTTGGGCGGGTTTCCTGAGATAATCCTCGAAGTGCACCTGCCGGGCTTCGCCGCCGCCCCCGACCCCCCACAGGCGGTTGGCCGTGCCCCGAAGGAGGCGCCCGCTCTTCCCCGTGAAGGTGGTCAGGTACTCCATGCTGCCGCAGGGAGGCCACGGGGCAGGGGCCGAGGAGGGAGACGGTTTCCTCGGCGGCAGCCTCTGCCCGCGCACCCTACCGGACCCGGGGGCTGTGGCTCCGCGCGCCTCATAGCAGGGGGGAGGGGAGGGGGCGTCCCTCGCCAGGCCCGGGGGCGGACTATCCGGAAACTCCGTGTTGGGAGAGCGGAAGCCGGACAAAAGTTTTTGAAAACTTTTTCTTGTTGCTTTTAAAACTCCGAATCAGGAATCATTAAACTTTTAAAAGTAGTCTATTCTGACTGGAGTGGACACAGGTTCGGAAAGAGGGAGACTTGTAATCAAGTCGGACCCAGTTCCATCCGGTTCCCCCCCACCAACTTGGCACTAATGGAACAGCCCTGCCCCCGCCCTGCCCCGCCCCGCCCCGTCCGGGACCCGACCGGACTGTCAAGACTGTAGGGGAAGCGGCGGGAGGCCGATCCCAGGAACCGAGGGCAAAGCAGGGGTAAAAATAGCCAGTGCTGGAATTTATATGGGCTCCAGAAACCTGGAAGGTGATTGCAAAGAACTCTGTCAAAAGTTTCTTAGGGTGTGTAGTGGTGACGGAGACAAATCCATATAAAACTTTGGCAGCCTTGTAATTAACTTCTTATAGGGCAGGGCAAGTTAGTTAACCCAAGACTGTAATCATAGATAAAAATGAATCCAACTCAGATAAAAATACTGTTTATGAGATCATTTATGTAAAATAAATCATTCTTAGTTATATTTTAAGTTTGCTATTATTACAAACTTAAAATATAACTAAGAATGATTTATTTTACATAAATGATCTTAGTTATATTTTAAGTTTGCTATTATTACATTAAGGAGCTCTGGTAGCGTAGTGGTTACGAATCGGGCTGCGAACCTTAAGGTCAGCGGTTCGAAACTACCAGCCCCTCCGCGGGAGAAAGATGAGGCTTTCTACTCCCGTAAAGATTTACACCCTCGGAAACCCTGTACAGGGTCGCTATGGGTTGGAACCGACTCGACGGCACTTAACAACAACAACATTATTACATTATGAACTGAATTTGACATTTCCTGAATGGAGTCCTCTAAGGGCATTAAGTGTGCAGGGCTGCTTAATGAGGGACAAAGAACCATATCCTTCTTTAGACAGAGACGGAGCAATGACTGTTGACAAATCATTTACTACCCAATTTTGTCCTTGTGGAATACCCACAGCCATCCAGTTGGTTCCCACTCATAGCAAACTCATATAGGGTTTCCAAGATTGTAAATCTTTATTGGCACAGACAGTCTCATCATTCTCCTTCAGAGAGGCAGGTGGGAGTGACTAGTAGATTTGAACCGCATGCCTTTCGGTCCACTATGCCACCAGGACTCATGTTCGTTCAGGTTATTCTCTTACTTTCTTATCTATTTATAGTTCTTTTAGTTCACACATTAAATAAATAAAGCATCTTTCTTGGCATTAATATAACAATATATTAATGTATTTGAAGAAAATGGGTGAATTGCTTAAGAAATTAAAGAGCTAAACATTCCAAATAATTGAAATTACTTTTTGACAATTACTGAAGATTATTCAAATCCTACCCCCCAACCTGTGCTTTTCTTAATCACGTGTTCATTTACACACCCTCCAAGAATCCTGGTTTGGGCTATAGGCTAATGCACTAGACTACAAGGTCCGATTGAACTGCAAGCTTGGCAGTTCAAGCTCACCAACCAACTCCTTGGAAACCCTAAACAGGGTCGCTATGAGTCAGAACTGTTTCAATGGCCCTTAACAGCACCATTTTCAGCTTAAAATTCTCACTAGGATGGAACACTGTACACAATGGTTAATCATTCAGTCAGCGGCTGACCAGAAAGGTTTGCTGTTGCCGCCCATTCAGATGCTCTTTAGAAGCAAGGCCTTGCCATCTGCTCCTGTCAAGATGACAACCTAGGAATCCCTATAAGTCAAAAATCAACTTCACAGGCCTTAACAACAGGTTGGGCAAACTACATTCCAACAGCAGAGTCACAGTGTTTATGGGGAAGGAGCACAGTGTTTATGGGGAAGGAGCAGAGTCACAGTGTTTATGGGGAAGGAGCCCAGCAATCTTTGTATCCAGCAATCCATGTAATCAGAATTACTGCTTGGGAAAGCACTGCTTGACTTTCTTCTGTGCCTCCTAAGGGTCTATTTGGTAAAAGCTAAGCGGGTCCTTTTAATTTCTGAGAATTCGATTTGATAAGGAAGCATTCTCCTGCTTAATACCACTTCTAAGTTCTCTGAGAAACTTGCTAAACTTTTTAAAATAGAATTTCAACAATTAAAATCTAATCCTGATTAACTAAATTGATTTTTTTTTTCTAAAATATTCTTTACATCTTCCCTAATGGAACTCTTAACCATTTAGCTTGTACTGAGTATATCCAAAAGCGTGTTTGTGTTTTCTACACCTAATTAAATTTACAATTTTACATCCAACCTTAGCAGAAATGTGTAGTCTACCCATTCAATACAGGCTGATAGGCATTTAACCTTTTTTTTTTTTTTTTTTCTGAATCTGTTTCCTGGAATGCTTGCTAGAAAAAAAGTATAATCTTGATGATTGAGTGCTTTACAAATTTTGATTTAAACTCACTCCTATAGTGAGTGTTCTTCTACTAGTCACATTTGGTGTCTAAACCATCACTATTCTCATAAAGTTAGCAAAGTCATTTTTCAAATATGTTGATTTATCTTCTTTATGACTCAGAAAACTATACTGTTGTTGTATACTATGAAGTCTGTTCTGACTCACAGCAACCATGTATTGGATTTCTGAGAGCAGCTGGTGGGTTTGAACTGCCGACCTTGCAGTTAACACAGTCTAGTGTTTATCATACAACACCACATATGAACAGTCATTTTTCTTTCTGCTTCCCTTTATATCTACATATGAACTTATTTCCATATCTAGAATCATCCTTAGTTCTGTGTAAGAACTAAACTCTTGGCTGTTGAGTCAGTTCTGACCCCTGGAGACACCAGTGTCACAGAACAGAACTGAGTTTCACAGAGTTTTCTTAGCTGTGCTCTTTACAGAAGCAGATCATCAGGCTTTTTTTCTGTGGTGCTGCGGGGAGGTTTGAACCACTAACCTTTAGGCTATTAGTCAACTTGCCTCTGAAGGAAAAAGATCCTTATTCCATCCATAAATCTCTTCCTCCACTTGGTGCCTACCCTTTTCTTCCACCTATATCAGCCACTTAACTTAACTTAAAAAGAAAGTTTCCTTATATACCATGCCTGCCTCCTCAAGTTATTGTTTGTCTCATTTTTAAAACAGTTTTGGTGGTAGTGGTAGTTGTGTGCCATCAAGTCTGTTCCAACTCGTAGCAACCCGGTTATTGTTATTGTTATTGTTGTTGTTGGGTGCCATCAAGTCAGTCCCAACTCATAGTAACCCTGTGTAGAACAGACCAGAACACTGCCTGCTTCTAAACCAGTCTCCCAATCTTTGCTATGCCTGAGCCAGTCCATCTCATTGGGGGCTTCCTCTTTTTCTCCAACCCTCCACCTAACCAAACAACAACAACATAGATTAGCCTCAAAACCATTTCTTTTTGTTTTGTTTTTTATTTGTTTTCATTCATTTGTATTCACCTCTTGCCCCAACTCCCACCAATAGCCCTGTTAAGTTCAGTGAAGTCAGTTTTGCCTCAGGGTAACCCTGTATAGGCTGGTTGTTTTGAATTGCCAACCATGCTGTTAGTAATTCAGTGCTTATCCTACAGTGCCACACCAGAGTTCCACCAATAACCATGTTATTGTTGTTCAGTGCAGTCAAGTTGGTTCCAACTCACATGGACCTTGTGTAGGGTTTCTGAGGAGCAGCTGGTAAATTTGAACAGCTGGCTTTTTGGTTGAAACCAGCCTTGTGGTCAAGTGCACTATCTCACAGTGCCACACCAGAATTCCAATAACCATGGCGATGTTGTTGTTAAGTGCTGTCAAGTCGGTTCCAACGCATTGCAAGCCTGTATAGGGTTTCCGAGGAGTGGCTACTGGGTTTGAACCACCTGACCTTGCAGTTCAAACTGACCTTGCAGACTAGTGTGTTAATCCATGGCACCATACCAGGACTCCTAGACAGCCACTAATCTATTCTGTCTCCATGGATTTGCCTTTTTTGAACATATACAGATGGAATCATAATGATGTTTGTTTGCTCTTTGGTCTCTGGCTTTTTCTCACTTAGCATAATGGTTTTGATGCTAATCTATGATGTTGTTGTTAGGTGCCATTGAATTGGTACTTCTTGGATCAACTATCAACACTCGTGGAAGCAGCAGTCAAGAGATCAGGCGACGTATTGCATTGGGCAAATCTGCTGCACAGGAACTTTTTTCAAGTATTGAAGAGCAGAGATGTCAGCTTGAGGACTAAGGTGCGCCTGACCCAGGCCATGGTGTTTTCAATAGCCTCATATGGATGCGAAAGCTGGACGAATAAGGAAGATCTTAGAAGAATTGATGCCTTTGAGTTGGGGTGTTGGAGGAGAATACTGAAAGTGCCATGGACTGCCAAAAGAACCAATAGATCTGTTTTGGAAGAAGTGCAGCCAGAGTGCTCCTTGGAGGCCAAGATGGCTAAGCTTCGTCTCTCATACTTTGGACCTATTGTCCCAAGGAAACAGTCACTGGAGAAGGATGTCATGTTGGGTAAGGTGGAGGGTCAGAGAAAAAGAGGAAGACCCCTAACAAGATGGATTGGCCAGGTGACATCATTGATGGACTCAAGTGTGGTAGCGGTAGTGAGGTTGGCCCAGGATTGGACATTGTTTCGTTCTGCTGTGCATGGGGTCGCTATGCACTCGATGGCACCTGACAACAACAACAACAACAACTCATAGCGACCCTGTGCACAACCGAATGAAACACTGCCTGGTTCTGGGCCAACCTCACAAATCATTGCTACTCCTGAGCCCAACATTTCTGCCACTGTGTCAATCTAACTCATTGGGAGTCTTCTT